TTTTTTTTTCTCTTTTAAACTAGCTGAAAAATTTTGCTCAAACTTAAAACCCAATCCTGCCATAAGGCAGAAACCACCCTCTGAAAACTTCAGCCCAAGAAATCAGTGCTTTAGACAAGCAACTAAAAATGGGGCTAGAATGGAAACACTTAACTACAGTGTGATGCTGGCAGGCCAGGTGCCAACTCTTGCCAAGGCTGCGGGCATTAGCGAAGAACTGACGAACTCATAGTTGGAGACCAGACCAGTTCACTTGTGTTAGTGTTGCTCAATAGGTATTGGTCTTAAGAATGTATTTAGTGTTTAGACTCTAATTCATGCAGCAATTTACAAACATTCTACAATCTTATTCATGATGTCTGTAGTCCATGCTATAAGGAAATATGTAAGTTTTGCTTTATAACTTTGAAAATGTCTGCTCTGAACTTATGAACTCAGATGGGAAGTGTATGGGGTTGGGTTTTTTCCCACGGTCCATCCAGAAGAAATAGCAAAATCAGATGGGCCCTCAAGGAACATCGTAGTACAAAGGATTGGTTAATGGCCCTGTCACACCTTGGAAATGCTGTGTGCAAGGAAGCTCATTCTTTAGGGACTTGAAAGCTGAATGAAGGCAATAAAACAAAGACCTAGGAAAATTGTCCTTCTCTTTGCTGTTTGAACTGTCACAGGGCCAGAGACCCCAAACTAAAGCCAGAGATCCCCAGGGGTCACCACTTGGGTCTGCCTTGAAAGATACCTTTGAGTTGACAGATTACTACAACTCAGTCACTCTTGGGAGTTAGATTGCAACTCACAGGTTAAAGCAAGCAAACATACAGTAAAGATTTATTAACTAGAAAAAATAAATGTTTTATTTAGATAGCTTATTATAGACTTGGCTACAGGTATTATCTTTGGTGTAAGATCTAGCATAGGTGCCGACTTCCCCTCTTTCCCGTGGGTACTTGGCCCCCACCCCCACTCCACCCCTTCCATGAGGCCCTGCCCCCATTCCAACTCCTTCCCCAAATCCCCGCCCTGGCCCCACCTCCTCCCCTGAGCATGCCATGTTCCCGCTCCTCCCCCTCCTTCCCAGAGCTTGCTAACGCTGCCAAACAGCTGTTTGGCAGTGTCTGGGCAGGAAGTGCTGGGAGGTAGGTGGAGGAGCAGGGACATGGCACACGAGGAGGAGGAAGTGAGGTGGGGTGGGGAGAGCTTGGCTGCCAGTGGGTGCAGAGCACCCACTAATTTTTCCCCATGGGTGCTCCAGCCCTGGTGTGAATTTTTTGGTGTAAGTTACCATTTATAACTAAGTCCAGCTTGCCTGGGTGGCAAGATAGACTGGAGAATATAAGGGGACTGTCTGTGACACCCTGGTAAGACTGTTGTAGTGATCCAGGAGTTTACGTTTGTTTCTGGCTTGGTGAAATCTAATTATAGAACATACCGCCAGTTTGGGGTGCCTGCCCTCTTTTTGACCGTCCACCCTGAGGTAGGTACTCATGGTTGTGAGCCACTCCAGACAGCGTGACATACAGCAGTTGCTGTCACTAGATCAATTCATGCAGTCTGTCAGGAGTACAGGTCAGGTTACACAATTAATGTGTGGTGTATGGGTGCCAGAACTGCAGTGCTTTGCTCATAACCATCTGGCTCTCAAGGAATGCATCAACATCACATACTTCTTGTGTTAGCAAAAACGACCGAAGATTTCTCTTGTATTTATTAGAAAACTTCCAGAGATTGTAGCTCAACCAATACCGACCAGGCTGGTTTACAAGTGGGCTTTTTGCTCTGAAGACCCAAAGATGTTCTTCGAAGCTGAAATGTAAAGCAGTGGAGGAGGAAGTTCTATTGGCTGCTTGGGATTATAAAGCTAATTGTGAGCCCTAAAGCATTTACCTTCACACCCACACGGTGGTGGTTTAAATTGCAGACCCACCCACACTGAGTGCTTAAGGCTTACTGCCAATCACCTAGTGCTTTTCATCTATAGACTATAGTGTTCTGCGAAGGTAGGTCAGCAGCATTGTCCCCATTTTAATGACTGGAGCACAGAGGCAAAGGCTTTGCCTGCACCAGGATTTTAGCCACCGGTATATCTGCACCAATGCACACTTTTGTCAAACACTTCTTTACCCCAGCACAGGTTGATCAGCACAGCTTACTCTGGTTTGGCACGAGTTACGTTGCCTTGGTGTAAACTGCGTTTCCTCTAGGGTTTTGCACCGGTAGAGCTACACGTGTCTGGCTTGTCAGGCCAGGCAACAAGCTAAAAGCAGAGATGGAAATGGAACTTGTATCTTGACTCCCTGCCTGGTTTCTCTTCCCGTCTCCTCCCCCCCCGCCCAGTTTGCAGCCAGCAGCTGCTAGCCATTCTCACGGTTACACACTGTATGAGAGAAGTGTAATCTAGAAAAGGAAGCAAACCGCCACTTGCCTCTCTCAGTCTGCAAAGTTGTTGGGAAATGTCTTTCCCTCACCTATTGTCTCGTAACACTCCTTACTAGTCACTATTTGTCATCCTTCTACTTGTGGAAAAGAGGGTGCTTCCCATGAGGTAGGAGTGTGAGAAGGGTTCAAGCATTGCTGCTCATAGAAGAGTTATTGGGATCTGGTTTGTCAAGAGCTGTGAATCAGAGAAGACTAAGTGACTTCTTGGATCATCCAGTCTATTTCCCCACTCATGCAGGATTATTCCCTACTGGACAAAACCTGCCTTGCTGGTCCCTCTACTGTCAGGAAGCATTTCCTTATATTTATTCTAAATTTCCCTAATTCTTTGTGTGTGGTTTTTTTTTTTTTTTTTTTTTATTATTCTCTAATTCCCCTTCATCCTTGTTATTAACAATTTGTAGATAGTTGGTTTATCAGGGATATCTGTCTCTGCACATCTCTGTACCCCAATCTTCTTGTTTTTCCCCCAACTCGATACAGTGTCCAAAACGACTATTTTGGAAGCCCAATATGACACGAAAAAGGGGCAGGTACTTAGCTCTTCTGAAAATCAGGCACTTTAGTCTGTCTTGCATCAGACACTCAAGCACTGAACGTTTGTGAAAACACAAGCTTATACTCTATAGTATCTATTCTCAACCAGAGCAAGTGAGACTTATTTTTTTTAATATGCTCTGCTAAAATAGGATATTACAGCAGTGGCTGTGTCATCCTTTGTTTTTAATAATTTTGTAGTTCTGTCAAAAAAGCAAAAACTTTCCAGTCAAGACTTATGCTCTATCAACCCATACTGCCTAAATATACTCATGGTGTTTATGTTGTAGCTATTTAGACTTTCCCCCCCCTTTCCCCCCTTAGGTTGGAAGTTTCTGATAAGATGGTAATTGTTAGGATCATGCTTTTTTCTTTAAAACAGGTGCTGCATTTGTGTTCTATTATTCAGTTAGCCAGTCTTTGCAAAATCCTATACAACTAGCATTTGTTGTCTTCACTTTAAGACTCTTTTCTCTAACTGTAGGATGATGAAAGTCTCCAATACCTAACCCATGAGGAGAAGGATGTTCTCCTGTTTTTTGAAGAAACCATTGATTCTTTAGAAGATGACTTGGAAGAACAGGTCCTACATGACAGCGGTATCCATGGTCACTCCCCAAGATCAACGGACGAAAATGCTTCCAGCCATTCAGAATCCGAAGAGATCATTGACTTGGTGCAATCAACCTCTGAGAACAGTGATCACAAGTGTACTCCGAACAGAGAAGTAGCAACAGGTAAAGTGTGACAGCTTCTAGTGTATGTACATTGAAGCAAATCTGTTGTTACTCAGGATACAGAAGTTCTAAGTCTTTTCAGTACTGACATACCTCTTGTTCTGAATTTGTTGAATCCTACTCTTAAAAAGCAGATTTTTCACCATGTCCCTCCCTGTTGTAGGGGAAGTTTGTGTGCCAGTACCACCAGAGGTGATGCATGGAGTGGGACATGCAGGGTCACGTCCCCCCCAGATTGCTTGGTCACATGGTGCAGCCTGGCCCTCCTTCCTGGGAGGCAGCTGAGCCAGCCGGAGAATCGGCTGGAAGCTGCAGGGAGGGGCCTCTCCTTTCTGGGAGGAGGGAGGGAGGGGGCGCGCTACATTCCGAGAGGGGGGACTCTTGAGGGGTGTGACTCGAGCTGTTCCGGGGTTGTGCCCCCTCCCACTCTCAGCAGGCACAGGTTGTCTCTGAGTACCACGCACGTGGCTTAGTAGCTCAACATTATTTGTTTCCTTAATTTAGTTGTTCGGATGCTGAATTATGACTATTGTTCCTCTCTTGTGTGCCCTCCCACCCACCCCCGTGTCCCCCCTGAAAAAAACAGGGCAGTAACAAAATAAGTGTAATGAAGTTGCTTCAATGAGCAGTAGGAGTGAAATACATGACAATGACTGTAACAAATATACTTGTTCATGCACCCGTTCCTTTATCCACCTCTAGCCCACACTTCTGTGGACAGCCATCTTGTGAATCGATGGTAGTGGAGCCACCATGGGGGCTTAGAGGAATGTGGCTTCACTGACCAAACCCCACCACATGGGTAGGTGGTGCCCATAGACAGTGGCCTCCTGATCCCTACACACAGCCAGTTTCCCCAGACTCTCTGCAGAAGAGGAGGACTTGCCCATTAGCAAATGCGCTACTTGGGTTTTAAACCTGTTTCTTTCCCCTCTGGTCACAGTAACCAAGAAAGGGCACAAACGCAAGAAATAGAGGAAAAGGAGAAGGCTGCTGAAACACTGCACATACATCTAGCAGATATGGGAATAATGGATTAGCAGAAGGAAGGATTGTATCAAACCCATCACAGGCAGTGTCTAGGTGGAGGCATTAGTTGCCGGAGGAGACATTAAGCTACTCAGGTTACAACTTCTTCTTCAAGTGAAAAGTTGGGGGTGAGGGGTGTTGTGGTGAGAGAGGCCAATACTAGTGAAAGGAAGCTTTGTGTTCTACTCTGTGCAAGGACCTAATGAGATTCCATTTGTTTTTTTTAAGTGTCCGAGGCTGCCAGGAGAACAGATGATCCTAAGCCAGAGGGCAATGAGCTGCCTGAGAAGATTCCACCTCCTGATGCTCCGCCAAGCCACCCTTCAGCTCCTCCATTGATAAGCGATGAGAAAGTTCTTGCTCCATGCCCCGTGCAGCACCCCAAGCTTCATCATGCCATCCCCACTCCACTTATCTTGGCTCAGAAAATGTCCGAGAAGCAAGATGAGACAAGGACATGCTCTCCCACTTCCCCCAAGGAGGGGAAGCCTGTGGAGTGGAGAAAAGCCCCAGTGCAGAACGGAGACTGTTTCCCAGCTCTTAAGCACCCTCTGCTGCCTGCACCCAAATCCTACCGGTTTCCAAGTAATATCAACATAACCAATGCAGGTGGGAAGGAATTCCACCAAACTATCTCTAAGGCAGCAGTCAATGTGCAGGTGCGCAAGGCCCAGGTGCTGGCCAACATGAATGGAGCAGCCTTTGGGACAGCTGAAATAGAAGAGAGGTGGCAGAAGAATGAGCTCTTGGTTCGCAGCAGAAGCTCCTCCTTAAGAGATCTAACTTCTGAGCAAACACGATACGACGCTCTGACAAAACTAGGCCTGGCGAAGGAAAGGCCAAGTCTGGTCCAACAATATCGTGCCCCAAACACACACAAGATACAGGACTTGCAGGAAGAACAGGGAGAGACTGTTTCTAATGGGTATCAAAATATCCACGCAACCTTAAAATGCGATCCCAGCCCTTTCCTTCCTATGGGCAAGACCGTGAAGATCAAACCAGACACAGCTCTCACCAGGGACAAGGTTGCTCGACAGAATGTTGCCAAAAGCTTTTATGACCATGGGCAGCCCGACTTAAATCTGGAGATGAGAAAGAGGTCAGGCTCACTGCCTAGACCTTCGGGATTTCGACCCCAGGGGATAACAGTACAGTTTTCCGGCCGAGGCTCAACAGAAGAAGCCAGGAAAGAGGCTCTTCGGAAACTGGGGCTGCTGAAAGAGACGATCTGAAAATCTGACAGGACCAACCTGACACCTGGGGGCAAGTGAATGGATTGGCTTTGTGTTGGAGCAGTCAAACAGGATCCGGTTTAAAAGGAAACTGGGAGAACAAGGGGCAGTTCTCTGCTCCTGCAACCCCAGGAGGTATTAAATATTGTACAATCGCAGGGACTTGCTGTCTTCACACCAAGAGTGGCACCCCAGTGGGTTCAACACTACATCCCACCAAGTTACCCGTCTGATGTTCAGTGACTTGTGCAGACTTTTTCTTTCTAACGTCCTGGCTGTAGCAGAGGGCATTGCATTAATGAAGTGTTCTGTGCAGTATTTTTTTTTATTATTGTATGTAGATGACAAATCAAATGGAGGATTTTCCTTATGTTGTACCATTCTGAAGCCAAAAACCAGATATATTATATTATATACACACACACACACACACACGGGGATCTAACTGAAGTCTTCAAGCTATCTCACAAAATTCCATGACTTTTCTTTCCTATGATATTGTATTACCTAGTTCTGCCCATATCGATACATAACAGGTGTTGGAATCTTCCTTCTCCTCACTCTGCCCAAAATCTCAGCTCAAGCATGTCTCTGACTTGTGCCTCCGTACAGAGGGTGGTTTCCCATTTGGCCTTCTCTCGGACATAGAGGCCCAGGCTTGGAGTGGGTATCTGCATTGCTCTGCCACTTAATTTGAACATCACCTCTCCTCCGCTAGATGCTCAAGAAGCAACTGCTTAGATCTACTGGGTGTACAGTGACAGGCACCAGCTAGCTCTCAAGGATACATGCAGTGTGTTCATAGTGTTCCTCTGACAACCAAAGAGTAACTTGACAATCAGGAAGCTAAACCTTTATATACCAGAAATGATGACCAGAGAAGCCATAGGAACAAGTTAACTTTGTACCCAGAGTCAGAGCCTTCTGTTTAATGTCTTATTTTAAACAAGAGTTCAGTGGAGGAAACCTCATTGCTCTGAAACAGTAGTTCTACTCCACTGAGCAGCTGTGGCTCAGTGCTGTTATTTTTATTAACTGATAACTTTTTTTTTTTTTCTGAGTCTTTCCTATGCTCATCCCTATACTGTGTTGAGAGCCCTAATAATTCCCAATTCAGAGATGTACCTTTCTTGGCAAAAATCAGCCTATCCTGCTAATGCACCACCAAAGTTATAACCAGAATCCTTGTACATTAAACAGAATTAAAGGCACTTGTATTTACCAACACATGGAGACTTCCAAAACTCTGTCCAGTTGCCAATTTCCTGTGCCCAGCAGACAGAGTTTAAAGGCGGTGTGAAAATTATTTATTTATTTTTTTAAATGTTAGAAGAGATTTATGTCCCATATGGCAAAGTTACTCTTCCTAAACAAAATACCAGTAACTCATTTTCTCCTTCCATACGTATTCCAAACTAGCTTCTATTCTTAATGATAAAGTATCTGACTCTATTTACTCATCTTTATTTTTGTACATTTGTAAGAGGCCCAAAATGTTTAATTTCTCCTAAAGGAGAAGATAAACCCAGTCAGAGTCAATCAATCAATCAATCTCTCTCTCTCTCTCTCTCTCTCTCTCTCTCTCTCTCTCTTTTATGTAGCTTGTAGCATTTTTTTCCTTTCCTTTTTTAAATGGCTGAGTTATAAATCTTGGAAAATAAGAGGAGTGGGTACAGTAGAGACTAACACACCCTCTATTATAAAAGTTCTGACAACTGTGATAAATATCTTTCTGTATTTCCTTGATAGAAAGTGTTGCTTAAAACTTTCTGAGTAGAATTTATAAATGAAGCTTTTGAAGGAAAATCTTTTCATAATTGTTTACCTGCCTCATAAGTTATAAAATCTTTTTTTAAAATAGTATTTAATCAGTTTTTATAATTGATTGCATATGTTATGGAATCTGGCTAGTTTTATTATTTAAATGAGGGATTATTTCTTCAGACTTTTAATACTTTGATTTGAAAGATCATGTTCCCTGTTGTAACAGATGTATGTAAGTAATTTTGAAATAGACTGACTATTCTTCAAGCAAGCAAAGCACTTAGGCATGTGCTTAGTTCAATACGTGACTAGATCCACTGAAGCAAATGAGACTACTTACATGCTGAACTTTCAGCATGTATTTAAGTGCTTTGCGGGATCTGAGAATCTGGTCCCAATTCAGGACTGTATTTAAGCATGTGCTTGGGACTTAAGTGCTGTCCTGAATATGAGCCTAAGTGAGGGTAATGCATTAAACCTATAATCTTAACCATTTTTTATTACAAATACTTATTTTTCTAGAAGCAAATCAAATTTAAGTGTTCCACAGTTTTTATGCATCAAACTTTTGAGTCCTAGTAAAGAAACACTACAAATGCCAAACCTGTATAAACCATCTTCACATTTTATCACGTTTCTCTCAACAGTAACAAGTATTGATCTTGTGCTTACATTTTTTTTTTTTTTTTTTTTTTTACAGGTGAGATCACCCTCTTAACAATTTTAAAAAGCATTTTGTTTTATCCAAGTATTTCTTTGAGTGAAGCTGAATTTCAGTAGATTAGTAAAATCATAACATTTAAAAGTGGATAAAGTTTTTTAATATCTTGAAGGTATAAGAGATTGCAAAATCTTGAGTGTTACCTTGCCCTTTCATTCTTCAATTAGGGTTGAATCCTCAGCTGGTGGGAATTGGCATAATTCTAAAAATACACCAGCTGAGGGTGTGTGGGCCAGTGTATTTATTTTGGTATGCTAACATACCCATTACCCCATTGATAAAACCTTTCCAGTGTGCCTAAAACTGTAGAAAGTAAAGCCATGTACTATATGTGAAGTTGTTATAGCTGCTAATGAAATAGTTTGCATTAATATACAAGTTATGTTGTGTATCATGTTACTGTGTATGTAAATGTTGGGGTTTTATTTTAAGGTGGTGGTTTTGTCTTACATAACTATCTTCTCTGAAAACCATAATGAATCAGCTGATTAAACTAACTAGGATAAAACCCAATGACCAGTAGTGGATGGAAAGTGGAGGTTTTTTTTCTTACAAACTCTTTATCATCCAGCAGCACCTGACTCCTTTCTTTCTAAGATGAAATGACTGAGGCCATGCCTATCCTACAGGGGCTACAATGTCACAGCTCCAGCTCTGCCGCCTGTGCTGAAGATGCATCGTAAAGCAATGGAAGGGGTTTCTCTGTCACTGAAGTTAATCCACCTCTCCATGGGGTGGTAGTTAGGTTGACAGAGGAATTCTTCTGTTGACTTAGCTGTAACTACCACAGGGGTAAGGAGCTAGGTTGATCTAAATTTTAAGTGCAGAGGGGGACACGTGAAGGGGCCTCCAGGGTCATGTGCTCCCCCACCCCCAGATTTGCTGCTTGGCTTGTACTGAGCATGGGGTTGAAGCCAGCTGCCCTCATTCCGCAACCCCACAATCAGCAGGCCTGGGTCGTCTCCTTAAACTTCTGACTTGAATTAAGCCTTCCCTGTCTCATCCCAATTCTAGTGCTCAGAGATCCACAAATGTAAAGAAAACAATGCTGTGCATTCAAAATCTAGCACTCATTTCGTAAGGAGATATTGGCATCCTTGCCTTTGGGGTAATATCCTTTGGGCCAGACCAGCACCCTTTGTGTATTGCAATGAGCAAGCAGAAGTCCTTGCCTTTCCCCACCACTTTGCTATTGTAATAACTTCCTAAAGAGGGGCGTTAATACTATTTCCTGTATAAACTCCACGCAACATCTCCATGTCTGCAGGGTTGTGCTGCCTGTATTGTAGGAAGTAAGCATAACCCTGGAGGCGTACACCTAGAAGAGGGCATCTTCATTTTTTCTCCTCATGCAGGACAGAGTTCCTGTACAGAAGATTTGTCCAGTAATATGCTTCTCTTCCCTTTCACTTGGATCTCAATAAATGCAGGAATGAGAATTTTCTGACAGGAAAACTTTAAAGTTGCATGTCCAGCCCAGGTTAGAGTCTGTGTGGTCGCATAAAAGGGTTAAACTCAACTTCTTTAAAAAATGAGGTTCTATTTGTGTTATAGCTTAAAGCTGAAGCTTTCATTTGAAATTGCTTTTCAGATTGATGCTGTAGCCAAGAAGGTCAAATATGGGTGCCTAAAGTGAGGCCCCCAACTCCATGTTTAGATGCCTAAATCAGTTGTTTCATTTGCACAGGTGCCATGCATCTGCCACTCACATAGGGTGACCGGAGAGCAAGTGTGAAAAATTGGGATAGGAGGTGGGGGGTAATAGAAGCCTATACAAGACAAAGCCCCAACTATCGGGACTGTCCCTATAAAATTGGGACATCTGGTCACCCTACGCTCACATTAAAGCTTGTGGGAACTGCTGGTTTACAGTACGACTGAAAATCAGGCCACTTGGATGCTTCAGTCTATGCAGAGTGGCTGATGTATTTATTTTGTCGGTGACATTTTAATTTTATGGTTATAGGGACCTATTGAAAACCCAGGCTAGGTGCCAAGTGTCTGTGTTAAAGGGGCTAATCCTTCGGGTGTGTTCATGCTAGAAACGCTACAGTGGCACAGCTGCAGCTGTGCTGCTGTACTGTAGGCCCTCACTGCAGCGATGGAAGGGGTTCTTCTGGCACTGCAGTAAATCCACCTCTCCAAGAGGCAGTAGCTAGGTCGACAGAGTTCTTCCGTCAGCCTAGCAGTCTCCACAGTGGGGCTTAGTTTGGCTTAACTGTGTCTCTCAGGGTGTGAATTTTTCAAACCCCTGAGCAAGGGAACTAGGTTGACTTAACTTTTAAGATGTAAACCTGGCCTCACCTATGCTTTAAGGCCTGGCCTGCACACAGACTTTGTACAGGTATAACTATTTTGATTAGGGGTGTAGGGGTTTTTTTTTCTTCTTTTTCTCCTTTAAAGTTACACTGGTACAACGCCTAGAGTGGATGGGGGCCGGCCCACAACTCAAATGACACCCCCTTGCTTGGGCCAAAACTTTGGAAGGTCTCAAATCTGCCTTCTTCCTGTTCTTCGCCTCTCATTGTACTGTTCTGCTACCTACCCCAATAAAGGAGAACTAACAACTTAAAATGCCTTGTTCAAAAATTTTTAAATAACACTTAACTTTCAAATGCCTGAACAGCAAATGTAACTTTTCTTGTCTGCATAGTAAACACTGGCATTTTTATCTGTTTGATTATTCAAAAGTGGTGCTTTCCATGCCTTCTTGGTTGCAAAGATTTGAACTGCTTCCTGCTGAAGGTCCACAGTCTGGGCTCTATTGAGATGGTTGCAAGGCCTACCAGCCTCTCCTGTGTCATGGTGGAGCGTAGATGTGTTTTAACTTCAGCTTGGAGAAGCTGCGTTCTCCACTGGCAACTGTTCCAGGACGTGTTAGAAGTATGGCAGAGCAACAAAAGCATTTGGAAAGAGGGTGGTCATCTTATTTGTGCTACATATATTCCAGAACAGCTTTTGGAGTTGATCCTGCTGAAATGTATCTTGAAAGGGCTTTCAGTTCATCACCTAAATCACTCACATCAATATCGCGCATGTCATCATGTGTCAACACTGTCTCTAGTGCCCTACATTGCTGGTGTAGGTCTTCAGGTATAGTGAAGAGTTTTGGAATATCATACAACATCCCAAATATAATACTGTGATCCTTGAGCTGCATGAAACTTTCAACTGACTGTATTGCACAATCTAGCACCTGGTTAAAGAATTTGACTTTGAATTGTTGTTTAGGGTCTCTCATGGGATTATCCCCTTGCTCGTAATCAAAATGTCGTCATCTTCGGTGGCTCTTGTATTCTTGAATGGGTGGGAAAATAGCTTCAGGGTGAAGTTCCTCTGCCAACTTCTGTGCACTCTTCAGAATGTTTTGAAATCCCTCATCTGACCGGTAAGACTTTGCTTTGTCCAGTTGTTCCATTGCTCCAGACATAGCGAGATCAACACCTTGAGTCTCTTGCTTACAACATTTATTTCAAACAGTATGTCATGCCACAACACTAAGCCACACGGAAATTTGAAGTTATGTATGTTTCTGGTGATTCCATTTCCCTCTGCCACTGCTCTCCCATGAACAGTTCCTGTCATAGCATTATCCTCCATAATGGTAACTGTGGCATCATCTATCTTCCCAGTTTGATGTTTGTTAGGCTTTATTACCTCCCTTCAACTTTCCCATTGTGTGGCACTCAGTGGTTTTAGTGTCAGAGAGGATGTTCCCAGCTGTTGCTTCAAAATTTGCCATCGATGAGTTGATGCAGAGAAAAATACATAGAAGCTTTGAATTACATTTAAAAATTCAGCAGCCTCACTAGAAGCTGATGCTGCATCACTGACCACCAAGCTCAATGAATGAGAACTGCATGGGACAAAAAAATCTCGAGGGTTTAACTCTCTCAGATCCGTGTCTGCACTCCTCTCTTCTTTCCTCTCATGTTGGCACCATTATCATAGCCCTGACCTCTCATGTCAGCTATCACAATTCCCGTATCTTCCAGCTTTTGAAGAAGCACATGTCATACCATCACCAATGTAATATCATCAATGTCAATAAATTCTAGAAAATGCTCTGACAGTCACCACTGCAGGGACACTTTCACTAGCTTCTGTTGTTACAAAATGCACCATTAAAGTCATTTGTTCCGTATGGCTGATGTCAGGTGTGCAGTCCAGAATAACAGTGTAATATCTTGCTGACTTCAGATCTGCCACAATCTTTTGTTTGACTTTTGTTGCCAGTAACTGTATGATCTCATTTTGAATTGTTTTTCCAAGGTAGTGGTGTGTGTACATTTCTTGGGTGGTGACTCTTCTTAGATGCTCCTGAAGTACAGCATCAAACTCCGCCGTCAGCTCCACAGTTTTAAGGAAGCTTCCATTGTTTGGCACATACAGCTGATCTGAAGTGCCACGCAGTGCTAGGTTTTGGGTAACAAGCATTCTCACAATGGCAATGAGCCTTTTCAGAACATTTTGCCAGTAAAGAGACTCTCACGCAATCTTCTCTTGATGCTGATCATCTATGGTGGCCTTTAACCTTAGTCTCAGCTCAAGCTCTTGGGGGGAGGGATAGCTCAGTGGTTTGAGCATTGGCCTGCTAAACCCAGGGTTGTGAGTTCAATCCTTAAGGGGGCCATTTAGGGATCTGGGACAAAAATCTGTATGGGGATTGGTCCTGCTTTGAGCAGGGGGTTGGACTAGATGACCTCCTGAGGTCCCTTCCACCCCTGATATTCTATTATTCTTTCCACCTACGGAATGCTCTCTGGTGACTTGCTGCCTTTTTATGGCATGCCAGATTTTTCCAATCCTTTGTTCCTGTAGAACCCAGTGTGGCTGGAACATTAGACTGGAAGAGTTTGCAACAAAAATAGCATACCGCATTCTGGGTTTTTGAGTACATAAACCATGGCCTCTCCACTTTGTCACTGTTGGGGATTTCACGCCAGTAATGTGTTGGATGGAAACTTCTATTTTCCTTGTCTTTGGGGAACACGAAGTTTTTCACTTGCTATAGCCCATGCCGTACAAGGAAGTCCCTCAGCCTAACTGGCTCCTGCTACTTCAGTTGACTGCCTGTTCTCCTCAAGTGCATTCAGGGAAGCAGCAGGAAACAGGAAGCTCCCTGAGAAGCTGGTGTTAATCAATCCAGGCTCCTGGGGCTGCTAGAGAGGTACATAAGAGGCTCCTCCTCTTCTCTCTCCCTGCAGCTCCTGCTGCTTTCTCTTATTCCCTCTCACCTTTTCTCCTGCCTGCCTGTTATGTCTCTTGTGCCCTCCTTCCTCCAGCACAGCACTCCACCATGTCTGTGCAGCTAGAGCAGAGAGAATACATATGTACCAGCAGCAGACACCATTTTGTACACTCTGGGTCTGAGGGGTGCTCTCCCACAGTCTGGCACCTGAGGCGGCTGTCTCAGTTCACCTCATGGTGAGGCCAGCCCTGGAGTGATACAATTATACTAGTATAAAAATGCCTACGCAGTATAGCTGCTTCCTCTTCCTGTGTGGGAATAAACTTTTGTATGTTGACAAGGCTTAAGTCCCCTCTTTATGCTCCAGCAACATAAGGGGGGTTTACCGCTGGTATCAGTTTAACTCAGGCTATGTCTACACTAGAAACACTACAGTGGCATGGATGCAGCTGTGAGATGTATTTAACTGCTGTGTTTGGGTTCTAGAGGCTGATGAAGCATGAATGAAGGCATCATTTTTTCACAGTAGACTGTCACTTTATGACCAGTTTATTTAAACTTTATTTTGCCCAAACCGTTAACATTTTACTTGAACCATTTTAAATCAGAACTTTATTGTAAGGGTGAGTATTAGCCTGTCTCAGTGTTAATTCTCTTACCCCACCTCCCTTTCCCAGCACAGTTGCACTGTATCTAATTCACTATGGTCACAGGCTGTTGGTGACAGCAGCAGCTCAGAGTGCTGTGGGCACTGAAAGTTGATAAAGATTCCTACCTTAATTTTCAGCTGAGAGTGTCATTATAGCCTGAAATTTCAGGTGCACAGATGAAATTTACTGTTATGAGCTGGGTGAAAGCTTGTTGGGGTTGAGTTAAAACCTTGCTCAAATTGAGAAGTGAACATGCCCTTCATTTAAAATAGTCAAATGGATGCACCCGTATGCTCATCTGAGCGCACAGAGTTTAGTAGAGCCTGCCCAGAAACTAGGACCAAGTGGGCAGGGGGCTGCCACAGGGGAGTGTGTGGGGGGTGTTCTTTCTCACAAACACACCCAGAGTAAGTGGCAGAGGCAAGAAAGCAAAGCAGTAGCCTTTGAGCACAGTGTGACCCTGGGAAAGCTAGAGAGCGAGGCTTGGGCTGTTAGTTTTAACTGCTTATTTTCTTCTCGGTTCCTCGTGTGTTTAGATGAGCAGCACTTTACAAGGTTGCCAACCCTTCAGGATTGTCTTGGAGTCTCTAGGCATGAAAGATTAATCTTTAATTAAAGATTGTCATGTGATGAAATCTCCAGGAATACATCTAACCAAAATTGGTGACCCTGCCAACAAGCTGGCATCCAAGTTATGCTGCATACCAGATTCCATCTATTTCTACTTACAAGTGAAACATCCCTCAGGCCCTGAAATTTGACTAGTTGCTTGGGTCAAAAAGGGCAACAATACTGAGTATCTGCCATAAAAAATTAAATCACACTACCAGCTGTGCTACTTTCGCTATCCCATGTCAACTCTTCCCTCCCCCACCTTCCCAAAAGAGAAAGCTTAAAGAAATAAATTTAATCACATTTGCTTCTTTCTAGCAAAGCAATTATCAGGCCATAGGGAAAAAGTGACTTTTTCATTTAAGGTAGAAAAAAATCAAGGGCATGATAAAAGCAGCAAAGAGTACTGTGGCACCTTATACCTACTGGGCATGATAGATACTGAGAAAAGCAAACAGCAACAATCTGTGGGACTAGCTTGCTTCCTCATCCCCAGCAGCCACATACACCTCTACCCCGCTATAACGCTGTCCTCGGGAGCCAAAAAATATTACTGCATTATAAGTGAAACTGCGTTATATCGAATTTGCTTTGATCCGCCGGAGTGCGCAGCTCCGCCCCGCCGGAGTGCTGCTTTACCGCGTTATATCCGAATTCATGTTATATCGGGTCGCGTTATATCGGGGTAGAGGTGTATTAAGGAAATTATGAGCGGGACAGTCAGCTGTAGCAACTAGCAGAGCCCCACTGCACGCCAGTGGACTTATGTTTCTTTGTAATAACTGCCTAGAGTAATTTTGAGCGCTACAATCTTTAAATCAGTATGAGCCAAATGATCTTCCTCATTGGACTGAGTGTTCATGGCTGGCTTCCACCCCAGTCGTCATTTCAAACACACCCTAGCATAGTAAAGAAATGCAGCGAGAAAGCAGTGCATTATAGCCATAATAAGGATTTCAGCAGTGCCATGTACTTACGCTCCTACACTGTCCCACTTTGCTTGTTGAATTTATAGTGTAAGCAATGCCAGACAAGAGCCTGCATTTATTGTGGGGGGAGGGGAGGGGTACCATGAAGAGTCATGCACAGTGATGATATCGGATAATGGCTCTAATTCCCATTGGCCACAGGGTGCAGGATAAACTATTGCCTTCAATGAAAGGTGGCTTAGGCCCTCAATTAACGGAAGCAGTGAAGGATGGGAACAACACAGGTGGTTATCAGACCCATTTTACCAACCAAGCAGGGGTGGCGAGTTATATTCAGGGTACAGGGGCCCCTGTGGGGCCGGGTCTCTCCCCTGGCCCACCTGCTGCCTTGCGTGCCTCCCCCGGAATGTCTCTGCCTAGGCCCAGGGCAGCGGGTGGCTGCCCTGCCGCTCCACGCTGCACTCCCTCGCCAGCCGCTGCTAGCTACAAAAGGGAGCGGCTGAGGTGTTTGGGTGGAGGGTCAGAGGAGTGAGTGACTGCAGCAGCTCAGGGAGCCCCAGGTGGCTGTTCAGCCTGATTTGGGCTTTTTCTTTCCCTTCCTCTCCTCTGCATTTCTTTTGCTAGTTTCCCTTCTTTGTGGCTGTAGCCAGGGCACTCTGACCCCTTCCCGCCCCGCCACTTCCTCCTCTGACCCCCTTCCACTGAGCCAGCTTCTTTCCCCTCTGGCTCCCTGGGTGCAGTGTACCCTCCTGCTGCCCCATGGCCAGCAGGACTTCTCCCTGTACCTCCTGCACGTGAGCAGCTCCTTTCAGGGCTTCCCCCAGGTGCAGCGTGAAGTCTCTCCCCCCCCCACCCCATAATCCCTCTCCAGAGTTGAGGGTGGGGAAAAGTTTGTTGCGTGTTGGTTTTTCCCTCTGAACTCTTGTCGCTCTTGTTTTTGAATGAGGATTTCTTGCTCTGGGGAGTATAACCCCTTGGAACTGAGAGGGGCCCTAGGAGCACGTGCAGTGACAGGGGGGAGAGGGCTGGGGGGGGGGGGGGGGGGGCGCCCTCCCCTCTAGCCCCAGCACTGGGGCAGCCTGGCCCTGGGGCAGCCTGCCTGAACCCCAAACTCTTCATCCCTGACCCCACTCCAGAACCCACACCCCTAGCCAGAGCCCTCCCTCCGTCCCAACCATCTGCCCCAGCCCTGAGCCCCCTCCTGAACCCCCTCATCCCCGGCCCGACCCTGCAGCCCTCATCCCCACACCCGAGCCCCCTCCCATACCCCAGAGCCCGAGCCCCCATTCCCCCCACCCCACCCCCCACATTGTGCAATACAGGGAACCTGTTAAACGCTTACTGTTTCCAGTCCATTTTTACATGATTAAAAAATATATATACCTCTACCCCGATATAACGCTGTCCTCGGGAGCCAAAAAAATCTTACCGCATTATAGGTGAAACCATGTTATATCCAACTTGCTTTGATCTGCCAGCATGTGCAGCCCCCCCTCCGCCCCCAGAGCACTGCTTTACCGCGTTATATCCAAATTTGTGTTATAGCGGGGTCGCATTATATCGGGGTAGAGGTGTATATCAGCTTACAAGGTAGGGTGATGGGGAGGGGACTTGGACCCGCTCTGGGCACCACCAAAAATTATACAAACCTGCCACTCCTGCAACCAAGGACTATTCCCTGCACTCTTTTTAGTAATGTATGCAGAGGCAGATTAAGATTTATTGGGGCCCTGGGCACAAAGAACATTTGGGCCCCCAAACCCCTCTTACCATGGGGCCCTGCCCCCCCTCTCCTTCCCTTCCCCGCAGGACCTGCCCCCTGGCCCAACCAGCAGCTGGGCCATGGTAAGAGCCACCCAGGGAGCCTGGGCCACTGTGGGTAGCCCCAGACCCATAGGTGTAGTTTCATGGCTATATTTGGCGGGGGGAGGGGGAGGTAGCATGACTGGGCAGGCCTGTACGCACACAGATGCATGTGCTGGAGCCAGTTCCCCTGGCTCTCTCCCCCTGCCTGGAGTGGTACCTGAGCTGCTGGTGTTGTGGGGAGGGGATGGGCTGGCTTAGAGCGGCCACCGTGACCCGCCGGAGTGGGACGAGCCCTGAGCTGGCCCATAGCAAGGCTCCCCGCGGTGCAGGCTCTGCTGGACGGTGTCCCAGCTCCCACAACTGCCCAGCACCTGCGCTACCTGCCCGTGGTGGCTCTGCACGAGCCCTGGCCTTACCCAGGCAAAGGGGCTGGGGCCGGGGCCGGGGCCTGGGCCAGGCGCAGACATGGTTTGGGGGTTGTTGACACAGTCACCATGGAGACCAGCCCCGCTCCTCCTCCCAGGACCCCGCCACTGCCATAGCTGCCCTGCAGCTGCTTGAAAAAGAGCAGTCTCCTCCCCCCAACTACACCTATGCACGGAGCCTCCACCAGCCCTGGGCAGCGTGCCCCGGGGGGGAGGGGAACACGTGCAGGGGCTGATCTTGGGCATCCCAGCCCCCGCACCTAGGGGGAGGATCTGGGGCTCCCCACAGTGGCCCAGACTCTCTGAGTGGCTTTTACCACAGCCCGGCTCCAGCTTCCCACCTGGCCAGCGGGGCAGGGCCCCGGGGTGGGGGTCAAGGAGGAGCAAGGAGCAGGGCTACAGTTCCCACACCGGTGGCCCTCCACTTCTATCCAGGTTCCAGTGCTCCTGCAGGGGGACCCCAAATTAACGAGGACCCTGGGCACGGCCCCATGGGCCCGTGCGTTAATCTGCCACTGAATGTATGCAGATTAGTTTGTAATGTCTCAAGCAAGGGGGTTCACATGAATGTTATGCAGTTAATATAGAACGTATATGGAACAAAACCTTTGAACAGTGCGACCGTGACACTCCTTTGCAGACTGCATTGTATAATGTACTGACAAAGCGTATGACTCAATTTCACACACACTAAGTGTATTGTTTGACCACACTGGGGCTTAATCAGCATCCTTTGAAAGGTTTTATTCCCACCATACCCTATAAATAGTATCAAGATGATAGATTTGATTATGAGCGAGAGAACAGCCCAGTACAGAAATCATGCATACCATGAAAGAACGTGGCAGGCAGGAAACTAATCTGTCACTAATTTTATTCTCTCTCATTCTGCTCCTGCAATGAGTTCGCTACAGGATGCATCTCCAACTGGGCCCCATTAATTTTAATGGACTCTGCACCTCAGTGTGTCGACCTGCACAGAACTCATTACTGGATCAGGGGCTCTAAACACCACAAATGCTTATAGTGCTGTACACAAATGACCTTAGATATGACCCCAGCCTCAGGTGAGCCTGGTAAAACAGAGCAGGAATAAGTTTTAATGTTCTTAACTGCCTATACGATTGTTGTACACACATGAAGTCCCTCAGTACTGGTGACCGAGAAAGCCAGATACACTGGGGTCTTCCTATCTTAACAACACACAGCTTCTTTCTACACTGAGAATTGCCCTCACTCGCCCTCTAGGAGGAATGAAATGCAGAAGATATTTTCAACACAACTGTCTGATGCTCTCTGATGCTAGAAGCACAAACAGCATGACTGTAATTTGCAGCGCTCCTAGATTAACTGGAAACGTTTCATAACTGAATTCACCCAGGTGGAAATTGCAAAACACATTCCTTGGCTGTCTCGTTAAAGTCATTGTTATTCTTGGCAGAAAAAGAACAAGGCTATCATGGAAAGTACGCTAGCCCGGATCAAACAGTAGCAAGCATCAGAAGCACTAAAGAACTGCTTTGAGCCATTGCTCATGCCCTGTCCCGGAGACATCTACAAAACAAAGCCTTTAGTTTCGGAATCCTCAAGTATATTTCATGCTGCAACAACACTCACTGCTTGCTAACACCTTTTGTTTTTCATGACGTATAGCCTAGCCCCATACGTGTGGTTTGGTGCTGTACATAATGGCTTATAAAAGAAGGGATAGGTTGGTAGGGGATGTAAAATTGTGGGACAAGTTCAGCAAAGCGTCTACATTGATGTAACTTAACGTTTTCTGCCCGACCCAAATGTGTATATTACAATACCTTAGACTCACTCCCTCTTAGCAATGTGTATCTTACAGCCTCACCTTACCCATTAACTCTGAATTTGGTACACGTTGTCTGTGCTGGGATTCTAGTCCTGGCTGCAGCTGCATTAGCGCCAACCATTAGCATAGGCTCTGTTTACACTGGTACAGCACTATTGGCACCAGTCCAGCTTACCCTGTTTGAAACCGCATAACTCATGATGCACAGATATAAATCTTGTCTGTGCTAGAAGGTTGCAATGGTGCAACTACACTGGTGACTAAACATCCAGTGTAGACAAGGCCTTATAGTGGTAAGGAGTCTAAGACTACGTCTACACTACAGAGCCTATGTTGGCATAGCCCCTTAGTGTAGACGCTGCATACGTCAACAAAAGGAGGTAGTATTCTGCCAGTGTAGTAATACCCCCTGTCCATGTGATGGTAGCTATGTCAAAAGAAGCTCTCTTTCTACAGCTGGGGGGTTTGTTGGCATAGCTATATCACTAGGAAATGTGGGTTGCTTCACACCGCTGACTGACATAGCAATTAGTTCTAAGTGTAGACCAGGCCTAAATTGATGAGCCTCAGACAGGAGAAAGGACTACAGCAAGGAAGTGTATATTAAAGGTGCTCCTGCCATAATGTCCACCTTCTTAGTATGTAACTTACACCTGTTTAAACATTAGACAGACTTACTAAGGGCTTGTCGAGCTAGTGTTTGTATAATTTCATACTGGTATAGCTTATTCCTCCACTCTCCAGGGTGTTCTAATTTAACTATTTTGGTTAAAAAAAAGTCTGAGTGCAGGAGATTTACATTTCCTCACACATCCCCTGTGAATTTGGCCCTTTGTTTAATACTCTTGACAAAGCCTCATTTTTAAAGCATTTCCTACACTACGATTAGTTATAGGTTCTAGTGTGTTTTCATCACAGAACTGGCTCCCAATAGGAATATTTTCTCCCTCTTTCCCTGGTATAAGGCAGGTCTCTGAGGGATTCAGACCCAGGCCCTGCCAAAGGGAACACCACCTCATCTTTCATGTGCGTGCCCTCTTGGAATTTGTAAAGCATTTCTCAAAACTGGGCTCTCCCTTCCGTGCTCAGGGTGACCCCTCCCGAAGCAGGAAGTACCTTCCCTAGGCAGCAACTGGCATGCCCCAGGGGAACACTCACTGAATTGTCAGATGTGTGCTTACCTCTAGGGAACTGGAAGGAAAGGTTATTTTTGGTAATAGGATCAGCAGTTACGCCCCAGTCTTCAGACTTTCCATCAGGTCACAGCTACCACCTCCCACTTACTACCTATAAAATAAAGAGCAGCAAAAAGGAGCCTGTGGTGGTTGAGGATTAAACAGATGCTCTGAGTAGTAAGAGCCTGGTTGGTAGTCTAGACAGAGCAGCCAGCGTTACTTTCCTAGCCCTGGTATGTGCTATGCCTTTATCTCTGAGGGTAACCGTAGATTTTTGAAATAGCCACATAAACTATTAGCCATTTTTTAAATGACATGAAAAAAACTCAGTAATTTGTATTTGTAGAGGCTGTACAGTATGAGTGTGACCCCCAGGAAGGGGTTAAGTGCCAAAATCAACAGCAGTATGTGCATGGGCGGTGGGTATCATAGGCCAGGGGAGGCTAAGCCTCCCCTAACCTAGGATGTGGCCCTGCCCATCCTCCGCCCCTGAGGCCCCACCCTCGCTCCCCCTCTCCTCTGAAACCACCGGGCATTCTGCTCCATCCGGCGGCCAGAGGCTGGGGTTGCCCAGGGTGGCTCAGGTTGGCCGGTGGCCCTGTGCTCCGGCTGGTGCTTGGGCCAGCCGGCACGCAGCTGCAGCGGGGCAGCTGATGCGGGCGAGCCAGGGCTCCTCTGGCCGCGGGAGGCTTGGACAGAAGCGGCAGAGCCAGGCATGGGACTAGCCTCCCCGGAGGGGCAGTTCACCCACCGCCCATGAGTATGTGAAAGGAGCAGTTACCTTGGCCCACGGGTTTTGTTTCAGTCCTTGCTGTGATGAAGGTCAAGTGATACCTTAACTTTTTGAGGTAACGGGAGGGGCTCACACAGATGCAACAGCACTGGTCTACTGAGGAACTACACATAGTGTCCGACCAATATATGTTTGCAGAGTTGTTGTAGCTACGTTGGTCCCAGGATATTAGAGAGACAAGGTGGATGAGGTAATATCTTTTAGTGGACCCACTTTTGTCGGTGCCAGAGACACGCTTTACATGCTTACACAGAGCTCTTCTCCAACTCTGTGTAAGGTTGAAAGCTTGTCTCTTTTACCAGCAGAAGTGGGTCCAATAAAATATATTACCTCACCCACCTAGTCTCGTTAGGATCAATATATGTTACAAAGCGTATTTTTTAGTGGGGGTAAGTCCCATTTGAAAGTAAATTCTGAATCCATCTAGTACTAAGTATGTGCATGGCCCACATCAGAAGAGTGTAAGATCCCCACTAAAAGTGTGTCTGTATTCGATTTGTGAAGATTGGCCTCTCTGGATTTGATCAATCAGCGAGTGCCGGTTTCTACCCATGCAGGCAGCAAGCAGCACCAAGACACCAAATGCTGTTATCGAACATCTCAATTTAGCTGGAATATTGACAAGCTAGAAGCTTGTTAAGCCACGGTTCATTTCAGCGGTACCCTCCCCACTGATTCCTTCCAGGCTCTTACCTTGTGATTACCGCACATAATACAGTGCTCCCATTGTTCCTAAGGAGGCACCAGTTTAGCAACTCGGCCACCATATGATCTGTGTAGGTACCACAAGCACTTGTGTTTGCCCTCCAGGTGCTAACGTGCTCTGCTGACCTTCAAATGGCATGACCCACCCCCAGAAGGAATGACACTGAAATGAAGTACACACCAACAGCATAGGAGGCATGAAATAAGAGGGCATTATTTTTCTTAGTTTGTCTCATCCTCTCATTTTAGAGACACCAACTTCTTGCAAGAAGCCAATGGGGCTATAACAGCAGGTCAGGGCAGCGAATCTAACAGAATGATGGTTTTCCCTAAGTACAGTGACAGCATGGGCTAATAGCCACAGTCCTAGCCCTGCTCTCAGCTCTGCCACTCATTTCCTGTGCAACCTTGGGCAAGCCACTTAACCACTCCATGCCTCAGTTCCCCCATCTGTAAAATGGAAATAGTTTGTTACCTGCCTAAGGCTTTGGGCAGCTGAAGTCATGTTCTAAAGTACTTTGAGAACCTCATGAAGCAGATGCTTTTGTAAGTTTTATTTATCTAAGATGCTTATATGGCCCTTCATTACTTAGTATCTGAGCACCTCACAATCTTTAATGCATTTATATTCAACAACCCTGGTAGGCCAGACAGTGCTGTTATCCCCATTTTACAGATGGGGAATTGAGGCATATGGGGACCTATGGCAGAAAGTGACTTGCCAAAGGGCCCATTGGAAGTCTGTGGAAGAGAGCACTGAACCGTGGTCTCCCAAGTCCCTTAACACTTGATTATCCTTCCTCTCTAATATTTAACTCGCTCTAACCTTTACTATTTACTGCCTGCCTAGGAGGAAACAGCAGCCTGAAAATTTGGGCTCTGAGTTGTTTACCCTGATTGGGCAATGCAGATAAACCACCTGATGTTTCTGAAGTGGAATGACACAGAGGGGAACAGGAGTATTTCATAGAAACTGTCACAGCAAGAGGGAAATTATTAGGAAATAGTTGTCAGCACATTTCTATTTCCAATACACAAGTTACTGCCAGGGCGGGGAGGAGGGGAAGGAAGAGAACTGGATCATCAACATGGTCCTTAGGCTTTCTGACAAATTTAATTACATCTGGATATTTCCTGTCTTCCTAAATGGGTTTAAACCTGATTAGATTTAATTTTCCATTTGTGATGGGAGAGATTTTCTAGTGAGACTGAGCTTGGAATATGTTCTATGGAGTGAAGCGTATGTGCTGATACTGTATACCCTAGGAATAAATTCATGGGCTTTGCTTCAGACATCATGAGAGAGAGGAGAAAATTCCCCTTGCTGTCAGCATCACGTTACAGGTGATATGGGTAACTCAGTCCGTTGCTTTTATGCACAAGAGGTGTTTTCATTTTTAATTCAGTTAAAACCAAATGCTAATGATTATTGCTAATAGGCCAAGGCACATGTCACGCACCTGTGCCCCATAGCATGGGAGAGTTTGTGGGCACAAAAGCCAAGTCATGGGTTCATGTGCATCAACTTTCTGATGGAAAAGAAAGGCTGCTGCAGGAGATACTAGGAACTAAAATATTATTGAAACACCCTGACTGAATTTCCAGAGGGGATTTAATAATCCAGTCTGACCAATTTAGCTGCAAGTCGTTCCTTTTGGAAAAAGCTTTCCCACCAGAATGTTACAAAAGGAAAAAAAAAAAATCTATCCCTCTCCCTCCACAATGCAGTTTCCCATAACAGAGAAAAGCTGAAAACTCCATAAAGTGCACCTTGGCCAACCTAATTAACCAGGGGTTCTGTTCTCTCTAGGATTCAGTTCAGATCAATAGCCATTTAGAGGCTACCGTGATACGAGCTGTATATAATTATGACAGTCAGAATAATTTAATAGTAGTGCCAAATACATTGTCTGAAGGATGCTGGACAAATGCTTTATTAGTTGATGTACAAAGTTTTTTCCACAGATTGCTTTCTGCCCTTTAGCCAACCTTTATTAACCTTTATTATATTAAATGTGAGGTGATATATTACAACAACCTACTTAAGAAGCTTTGGGACATGGACACACGAGATACACAACTGCTTTACATTCAAAACAGTTGTCGTCTTCCACATCAGAGGTGGTTGCATTTCATGGTGGGTAATGTGATCCGTTTTGATCCTCTATGTACCTCACAAGTATGTTACGAAGCTGCATAAGTATTGCCTGCGAAGAGCTCCTAGGATAAATGGTGGCATATAGTGACCACCTTGTATATCATGGGTGAAATCATGGCCCATTGAAGTCAATAGTAGTTTTGGGATTGACTTCACTGGGGTCAGGATTTCAGCCCAGAAAGAAAAAGAATTATCAGTCTATCTAAATCATTTCCATGCATATGCAGGAAAGAATGCAAAATAGTATAAAGACACTTCCATTTTTTTCTACATTGGTTCATATAAAAGATGAGTGTGGTTTTGCAGCTCAATACCAACGATCTACCCAGTGCTTCAGGAGCTGCAACAAGACACTAGCCTGAGTATAGGAAATGGATTTTGTTCCTCAAAGATTTGCAAAGCCCAGTGGAATATTCCTGCGTCATTTTACACATTGCTTTTCAGATGGCGTAGTTTAGTTACAAGCTCACAATCCCTTTGCCACGAAAGCATAAAACACAATGAATGTAGCCGCAAACACATTTTTCATTCACAGATGTCACCAACTAAGCCATTTAGCTGCCTGACCCCTGCTGAACTTTTTCAGGGAGGTCGAGGTAGAATACTCCTGTCGCACTGCTGAATGCACTAGTATGTCCTGAGATGTCAATGGAATGTTATTGGAAGTCCGGCAGCGGGGGGAGGAACCAGCAGTCACAGAGTACTGAATTTCAAACAATGGGAGCTCAGGAATGAAGAACCCTGCTGATGGACCAAGCCTGCAGAGTTATTTTCTCCT